CGGGTTCGCTTCCCTGCTCCTCCACATGCAGCTGCTGGGTGACCTTGGGCCAGTCACACTTCTCTGAAGTCTCTCAGCCCCACTCACCTGACAGAGTGTTTGTTGTGAGGGAGGAAGGGAAAAGGAGATTGTTAGCTGCTTTGAGGCTCCTTAGGGTAGTGATAAAGCAGGATATCAAATCCAAAATCCAATATCATACAGTCAAACCTCGGTTCCTGAATGGCTCCGTTTTCAAACGTTTTGGCTCCCGAACGCTGAAAACCCGGAAGTAAATGCTCTGGTTTTCGAAGGTTTTTTGGAACCCGAATGTCTGACATGGCTTGACTGTAATGAGCTCTTGCAACCAACTGGAAGCCACACCTCGGTTGTTGAACATTTCAGAAGTTGAATGGTCATCCGGAACTGATTATGTTCGACAACTGAGGTTTGACTGTACCTGTTAAATCAGTTCAGAATTCTGATTGGGATGGTGTGAGGGTTCGTTCTCAACTGGGCTTGGATCCAGGCACAACTGAAAGGTTAAAAAAAATGTTCCACAGGCCCAGAATTAGGCAGGAGGTTATTTTTGTCTGCTTGGTTGCAGCTATATCAGTATATCTAGAACAACTGGAATGTATTACAACGAACTCCACAATATACGATATTATTTGCAAAGAACACCCACATTTCTTTTCCCATCGCATATTTCCCCCCATTCCTCAGCATTTTCCTTCAAGGAGCTGCCCATAAACTGCTGTTATTTCTGTTCATGCTTTGTGCTTCGCCTTTCATATTTTATTTCATTTTTTTGCTTCACTTGAAGTGCTGGTTAGATGACAGTACATAATGTGGAAAATATGTCTAACTCGATTCTGTCTGTGTAATTATTGTACATTTTGCAGAGTCGAGGCATTGGTAATGGTCAAGAGGAGCCATTCCAGCAGAGCTCTTTTAAATCACGCCTCTTTAGGGTTTTCTCCTGGATAGTAGGAATGGACCAGTTTGAGCATCTTCATATAAGGCAATAAACGTATGTGCGCATAGAAGCGCACTGGTGTGCTTTACGTGTGTTCTCACGAAGGCGGACATGTTAGCCTTCAGTGCAGGCTACGGGCATTTTGAGAAACGGAACTTTTGTGAAGTATTCTTTTGTATTCTATACTTGGTTTCCCTTTGCTGTAACGGTAGGGAGGCAAAAAAGAATTCATTTGCTGAGGAGATGCACATTTGAAAAATTTGCAAATCTCTCATAAGATCATTTTAATGCTCTGAAATCAGATCTAGAATACAAAGTATAAATAAGGAGTCTGTAGTCAAAATTCATATACAGATCTCCAATATTTAATACAGCCCCTTTCTTCTTTTTCACAAAACATATTTTATATGACTGTGATACTCCTTCATATATTATTTTTTAAAAAAATAAATAGAATAAACATTTAGCATAGTGCTAAATATGCTGAAATGTTTGATTGAAAACCTGCACTTGAGGTTCAGCCTTCGCATCCTGCTTTCCTAATGGGAGGGTGATTTTACTGGTTTGATCCCTTTGGGTTTTCGTGTTATGCCATTTTCTCTGGTTTTCCTCCTGTGATACATTGGTGGGAAATAATCATTACAATGCATGCTGTGCTTCTAATCTTTTCTGTTGCTGCTGCCAGTTACTGCCTCTGACGATTAGAACAAAACAAACTCGTGTAGTGCTCTGGTAGGAAGCCAAAGAGGAGGCTGATGCGAACTAATTGTGAGCACTGACGGGTAGAAACAAACATTCGTTTGGGAGCCTGTGTGTGTGTGCTGCTTGCTCGCACGACATTTCAATTTGTCTGCTGTGTGTGTGTGCTGTGGGAGTTGCACCTCAAGGACTTGCTAAAGATTGCATGGTTAGAAAACTCCAGAGTTCACCAATTAGGGGTCGGACATATTACAAGACCCCTTACATGATCAAATATCTGCATTAGAATATATATCTCTTCAAGCTTAGATTTCACAAAGTCGCATTTTAAAGAGCAAGGCTCGTAGCTCATTATTGCAGGTGACTAAAGGCGTTCCTGAAGAATAATCGTATGAATGATTATTTGAACAACTGGCAACGGTGTGTGAAGGGTTGTGGCAGGATGGCAGCAGTAGCCTTCTGGTGACAAAGTGTGCCAAGACAGGAAGGGAGTGCACACAATTGCAGGACACCTTTGCCCAGCCCAAAGCTCCCTCAATGTCATGGACTTGTTGGACGCAGAGGGATGAGGGGATGAGTGGTGGAACAACAAAGAGGGAGAAGACTGGAGGGAGGAGGTGTTGGAAGCTGAAGAGTTAACAGGGTTTAGTGAGCAGGGAGAGTCTGTGGCAGAGAGAAGTCCAGAATCAGAATCAGAAGCTGAAGCTGAAGCAGGAGAGGAGAGGAGGGAGGCCAAGAGGCAGAGATGAGTCTGGCTGGTGAAGAGGCATGGGTGTCTCCTCTTTCTTCTGCAACAAGCTCCCTTCCCCTCTGGTCTCCCAGAACTAGGAGAGGCATGAAGTAGGAGGAGCATAGAATGGCCTACAGGCACAATCTCTGATTGCTTGGGAAACACCCTGGAGAGGAGGAAACATAGCCGGCTGTCAGGAGGCATGGACCTTTAGTCTTGGCAACTGTTTCATGGGGGCAAGACTTGAGTTGCTGTGCTCATTAGGCCTGACACTTCTGTCCAGATCCTGTTTTACTAATAGAGAGTTAACTCCAGCTTGCTCGGTGTGATTAACTGTTGGGCTGCTCCTGTCACTCAACCTCACTGCCATCCCATCCAAATGTTGTAATCTGCCCTGGGATGTTCAGGTGATGAGCAGGAAATAAATAAATAAGTAGGTCTTAACACTTAATTCAAGTGCTGGAGACCCAGCCGAAATCAGAGAAAGTCATACAAAAGTCCTGTTGAAATTAATGGGACATCAATTGGTCACAATTAACTTACCATATTGACTTCAAGGGGACTTAAGCACCTTGACAAATGTATGCCCTGTATCTTCCATCTGGAACATCCTTTTTTTTGCCATCAACCTTTTCTGGTTAAAAACTAAATGACAGGCTTATTTTGAATGCCACAATTTGCTATTGAGTACTTGGTTGTAAAAGCAAAATGCCATGCAAATCTGTGACTGTGGGCCTCAGATAATTTGTCAGTATAGTTGGACTTAAGTTTCTGTTTACAGAAGACCACAGTTTGTGTTTTATATAAAAACGTGTATTTTTAAATGTTTGCTAATGTGCACAAACAATGGAGAAATAAAATCACCCTGTTGAAAGAAGCACAGTGTAGAGCAGATCAAATAAAGGGGGCATCTCACTGATTGAAAAAGAAGAAATGTTTTTAATGTGTACTGTCAATGAGCAAATGTCATTTTCATTCTAACATTTTGCTGCTTCATTCTGTGCTATATGTCTCTCTGGGAGTAATTAATACTTTTTTAAAGTGAAAATGAAGGAAGGAAGAAATGCAGCATTAAAATTGTATTAACAATGAAACACAATATGATCCGCTATCAGACACTGTCTAATTTGTTGCCTGGAATTTAAATCCTAATTATTATAAGATCCTTATAGAATTACACCTAAGTTACCCAATACTCACATTGCTAAGCAATGGCAAATAAAGTAAATGTAGAAACAAGGTAAAACTAAATGTTATAATAAAAGAGAAAGGTTAGGTCCTCAGGCCCATATTTTCCTTGTAATGAAAATACAAGCGGAGGACTTCTGTCCTAGTCTGTGGTCCAGAAAGACAAAACCCAATTGGGGTGCAAGGCAGATACAATACACTGGAAAACAAAGATCTCTGATGTTGTTCCAGCAAGGAACAAGCTGAAACTGAGTCTTATATAGTTGTAGTAACAGCAGGTGCCACCTGGAAGGAGCACCTGTTCTACAGGATGCTAATTGACTCAAAGGGCCTCAGCCTTCTCCTGTAATCTACTTTTCTGGAGTAGAGAACCCTCTGGGAGCTCTCCAGTAGAGTCCTCTGAGTCAGAAGATGGCAGTGCCCAGAGCCAGCCCACCCCTGAGGCAAGGTGAGGTGATGGCCTTGGGTGGCAGGATCCATAGGGCAGCAGATCCTGATGTAGTTCTTTATCCCCCCCCCTACTTGTTCCTGATGTAGAATTTAACTCTCCCCTTCTTCCCAGGCCGAAAGTGGGGGAGCCATTTTGTTGTTCGCCAAAATGTCTTCGGCCAGCCCTGGCAGTGCTACATCCTTGGGCCAGGGGGAGGGGGCTCTGCTGCCCCCCAGGTTCATCTGATAGCAGTACTTCTGGGGCTGGCCCTATGTGCCCCTCGGGTTCTGAGTCCTTGCCTCCAGCACCTAATGAAGAGAAAGAAGCCTGACTCTGGGCCCCTGACAAGAACTGTCGGGTAGGAAAGTAGTATTTAATCCAGGCATAGATAAACTCGGCCCTCCAGATGTTTTGGGACTACAACTCCCATCATCCCTGACCACTGGTCCAGTTAGCTAGGGATGATGGGAGTTGTAGTCCCAAAACATGTGGAGGGCCGAGTTTGCCTATGCCTGGCTTAACCCTTCTCCTACCTGCTGATTCACCCTGCAAAGGCTGTTTTTCATGTTTTTTTACCTCAAGTGTCCTGCAAAACTGGCAGTCAGTCAGAACAGAGGAAAATCAACTGGGGAGGGTTGGGAGTTTCAAGAGAGAATTGGCAAGTGTGTTATATATGTTGTGGCGGCAGCGGGTTAAGTACCGCACACTCCTTTGGAATATTCATTCTTCCTTCAAATGTCCCCTTCACCTCCCCACATTCACATTGCGTTGACAATGCCCTAAAATGGGTGGAGTCTTGTGAAACATTTTGGACTTCTTGCAGGAATGTGTATTTGCACCACCACAGCGCAACAATACTCCGAAAGCACACGACCGTTCCCAAAGTGGTAGGGTAGGAAATGCACATTGTTGTTTTGTCAGTTACTGTATAGACTTTTAACTGTTTTCTTCTCTCTCTCTGTCTCCCCCAACCCTACGCCTTTTTTACATTTTTGTAGAACCACATCACGGCCTTTGCAGAAGTCACATGATGTTGAGACGGATGTCTATTCGCTGCACTGGACGTCATCCCTTTTCACAGTTCACTCATAATAACTGACATGTTTTCCAGCAGAGGAGAAAAATAAAACTTTTGTCTGGTTTTATGACCTGATTAGCAGCATTAAGATTTACATCAGCCTATGAAGAACATGCCAGAAATGTCAAAAGTTAGGAATATTTTCCAACAAAAAGCATTGCACCATTTAGGGGATGAGGGTTTTGGGGAGGGGAGGTATTGGGAAAGCATGAATCTGTTCACATCGCATAAATATATCATTTCCCATCTCTGGCTATCCCCCCTCCCACCTAGCCATGTAAGTATCTGACGGAACATTATTATGTCTGATTTTTCATTGTTATTTTTACATTTTAGCATGACACTTGTTCCCATTCAAACAGATTTCAGTGTATACACTTCTTTTTCTTTTCTTTTTTCTTTTCTAAAAATCCCATACTCAAATGCTGTTTGCACTTCGTATTATGCCGTGTTTCAAATACACATTTATATCTTAAGACTGGTGCTTCTGCTTTTGAAGAAACAACAACAACAACCCGCCAATTTTTACTGTAATAAGTATATTGTATCATAATTTTAAAACAAATTATTTATTTGGATATTTTCCTGACTTCATGTGGTTGAATAGTTGATTTTGTAGTTCTTGAATGTCTACAATGTACCCTGTAGTTAGGATTAGAAGTGAGAACACTTAGGCATTGGGATATCCTATTATTTTAGCGATTAACAATCTCATACTGAAGGTTAATGGCTCTGTTCTGAGGTCCAGCATATTCTCCCCACCCCCATTTGTAACATAAAAGTAAAATGATTGCTTTCGTTGATAGTACTTGAAGGTTAATGTGACATAGCTAGCAACCTGTTTCCAAAAGTGATCTCAAAACCTTTGATTCTGGCATGAAGAAGGAGCAATATATAACATGCGCTTGGCTCCCAGCCTGAGGGGTCCTCACATCCTTCTCTCATGTTCTGATGATGACGGTGATCTTTGTTATTATTATTTTAATTTATCACCTACCTTTCACCACAAGGTTCCAAGGTGGGTTGCGACAATTTAAAAATATTATATTACAAAATACTTTAAAACAAATTATAGTCACAAGAATAGTATGGTTCTAAAATATATGTTGTAGCTGTGAAAAGCTAGGGTTAAGAGTTGCTTCTTCATTGTTTGGTGGAAACTACACAATGGAGGTGTTGGACACACCTCTGTGGGAGGGAAACCACTGCCATTGAGAATACCCTATCCTGGGCTGACATGCCCCCAAACCTTAGAGGGTGGTGGAACCATCAAGAGGTTGCCTTCTGCTGATCTGAGATCTGTCCCCATCCTTTGTGTGAAGCAGTGGTGAATGATGGATCCTCCAGTGCTAGAGAGTGAAGGGCAAGGAGAAGGTTGGCCAACATGGAGTAGCCGATAGAGTGGGCCAGAGTTCCTCCCACTGGCGCATTATTGCTGTAGCAATTGGTTTCCCTATTCCTTTTACAAGTACGTGGACTTAAGATGCCCAGCTCTGCTTCACTGATATCAGTTTCAGCACATGCCTCTGTTCTGCAGCAGCTATGGCTAGGTGTATGATCAAGAATAAATCACTGACAACTTAATGATATAGCCCTGTTCACCCTAACAGTACCAGATCAATGTGAATGGTTTGTAAGGATTCTGTAGTCATTTCAATACCTAATGTAACCATGTTCTATCGCAGTGCTCTGCTATTTCTCCTGGACCTGGATTCACCATCTCTTATGACTTTCTCCCGACTCCTCTCTTCCCCAAAAAGTGGAAGCACCGCTGCTATGGTTCACCTTAAGTCATGTTGTAGCCCTGTTGTAGGTGTTCTGGAGCACTAACTCCCATTTTTACTGAAGGATAAAATCTGGATTTGGTCACTTCGGGTCCCATCTCTAAGTCACCAATGCCAACCCCCTTGTTGATTTGTTGACTCCAACCCACAGTGTGAAGTTCACCGCTCCCTACTGCTTAAGGCACTCTTGAAAATGGGATTCAGGCTTCCAAATAAAGGGTCTTTTCACATTGCCTTTCAAACACCATAACAACCAAAGTAAAATGGGGCTATATCACAGCCTTGCTATGCCAGGAGGCTTCACGTTTCAATTTCTTTAGTCTGGGAGGCAGTAGGGGGTGGGTGCTTTTTTTCCTTTTAAAGGACTCGTGAAAAAATGGTCTTGAAAATGATAAGAAGTTTAACCAAAGTACTATCATCCTTCCAATTATTTATTGTATATCTCAGGAATTTTTTCAGTTACGCCAGGAAAGTATGTGAGAATACACAAGAGAAGGCCTAGTGAACAATTTTGTACATGTTCCTATTTTTCAAAATCACAAAGGAACATAAAATCCAAAACATCTGTATTTTGAGATCTAGTTTACCCTGGCAACCTACAGACATATTTTCACATTTCCTCCCTGGTGTGTCAAAGTGAGCTAGGCCTTTCTACAACAGACTTTGCACACAATCCAAGTTATGCACCTTTATATTCCCTTGATTTCACTGAGAAAGTTAGGCATGCACTTAATTTCCTCCATTTGAAATCAGAGGGAGGGGAAAAATGCTGCCCCTTGCCCTGATTACCTCCCTTCCCTTTCCATTAATTGCTTTGAGCAAACATGCTGTGACTTCCCCAGTAAAAAGGTAACCCAGCTCTTTGCTCCTGCTAAAGTGAAATTTGTACAGGGCAAATGTCCGAGGAAAATTGTCCCTTGAGCCATGCTTTACCCATATACTTAATGTTTTGCTCTGTCTGGCAGCAGGAGATGAAACTGCAACATAAATTCTATGTGGCTCGTGTACACTTGCCAAATTTTTAATCAAATGACGTGGTGCTCCGTGCCATCCACAATTATTCTCATGGGCATTTTATTATCTTCATTCAACATGGCAAATTAAACTCTGTTCTCATCAACAGAAGATCCAAATTCTACGATCATCAGAATTACATGACTTTGGCCTTTTCTAGACTTTGCTACTTCAGACTGAGGGTTATGGGGAGGGGGTCACGTTGTTCAATACACCCTCTTGTTAAAACTCTCCTAAATTTTCTCAGACTAGCATGCCATGAAGGTTGCAACATAATCTTCAACATGTTACCTTCCTGTGTGCAGGAAAGCTAATTGCTGTCAATGTTTCCTTATGTGATCTCCCCCTTGCAGTCTGAAGTGATGCAGTCTGAAAGAGCTGGTACCATGTGATTCTGCTAATCGTGTAGCTTGACTCAAAGTGCACGATATTTCTTTCAGAGATAGATCAAATGCACTCTTGTATCCAGCCTGCACGATGGATGGTGATGACCATGTACCTTAAATAGCCAATTTCCAGCACTTGGTCTAGAAGCATTCTTAAGGAGGGGACATGTCTTCTCTAGGGATGGATACAGTTGTGTGATTTTGGATCAGAGCCAGCTGGCATACAAGTGTCTCCCAAAGATTATGTGATACTGTATGGATCTTTTAAAAAAAGAAGGGGGTAAAGTGCTCACTAGAAGCAAAGAATCGAGCCCTTAACTATAAGTCTAATGTGTGTTGCGAGCATCATTTCTTAAAGGATCAATTATGTTTGAGAAATCATAGCATATCCCATATGCTTCCCTTGCTTGTTTCATTTCTTGGTCTAGCTGTTTAGGACCCTCCTTATGTACAATTGTTCACAACGAGGATTTCAGGGAAATCCTCAGCTGGTCAGTGCAGTACAGCAATTCTGCAGATTTTATATCTGATTCTTAAGTTCAGGAAGAGACTCTTTTATGTTAAAAGAAAGACTATTCTTTTTCAGCATATTGTCTTATGTAAATCAGCATGTAACTGAGTCTGTCTCTCAGGATTTATAAGAGCCTAGTATTTGGGTTAAATTGATCATGTTATCTTTGTGAATCAGCAGTAACAGGGTGGGGAAGAGACACACTGCTGTGTACTGTATTTTTAAATAAAGTAATTTTTTTCAAGCATACGTTGCAAGTTTCTTTCTTAGAGAAAGTCCCCTTGAGGGACTTGAAAAGTTGTCAGGCTGAGTGTTTGTAAGATGTGGTGAATAAGTGAGGTGCAGTGGTACCTCAGGTTACATATGCTTCAGATTACAGACTCTGCTAACCCAGAAATAGTACCTCGGGTTAAGAACTTTGCTTCAGGATGAGAACAGAAGTTGTGCTCTGGCGGCACGGCGGCAGCGGGAGGCCCCATTAGCTAAGTGGTGCTTCAGGTTAAGAACAGTTTTAGGTTAAGAATGGACCTCTGGAACAAATTAAGTACTTAACCTGAGGTACCACTGTACTGGCATTTAAAATGGGAAAAAACAATGGGGGGGGAGAGCTTCAGTGGTAAGAAAGAAGTCGCCATATTTTTCTGGTGGACTCTGTATACATCTGGTGGGCTGTATTGAGTTTGAGTCAAGTAGGAAGGCCTATTCATGGCAGTTCTCTGCCTCTACTCTGCCCCGAAGCTCACAGGTTTGTGGGCCGGTGAATATCTCTGAGCCTCACCTACCTCTCAGGGTGGTTGTGAGGCTAAAGCAAAGAGGGGAGGAACCATGGAGAAACTGCGGTATGAATAAGTAAATGTATAAGTCTCTCAGAAGTCATCTCTGATGAGTTCTTCCATTATTCTAGATTCAGGTAGGTAGCCATCTTGGTCTGATGCAAAATAAATAAATAAATAAATAAATAAATATTTATTAAATAAATATATATATATATATATATATATATATATATATTAAAATTGCCCAGTAGCACCTTAGAGACCAACTAAGTTTGTTCAGGAGCCAAACATTCTGGGTGTAAGCTTTCGTGTGCATGTACACTTCTTCAGATACATCTTAGTTGATCTCTAAGGTGCTACTGGGCAATTTTTTGAGTTCTTCCATGCACAGCATTTGAAATGTGAATTTGTGACAAGGCATATGGGGATACCAGCTGGGTGCACATCCATACTGATGTCCGTAGATGTATTTTCTGGCATTTCTGCAATTATGAAATGCAGAAGGCATATGGAGGCAGCAGCTGGGCTTGCAACTCTCTCCAGCTTTTACAAAAGTTCCTTCTAGAAATATATATTAAAAAAGGTGGGGATAATGTCACTCCCCACCCACACCCCTGACTGCAAATTTCATGGCTATTTGCAGTTTCATTCTCACTCTAATGTGCTTTACAGAGAACCAGTTCATGGCCATTTTCAAATCATTTCCTGCATTTGTAACGACAGGGAGCTTTGCAAATTACTTAACAGTATTATGCATATGTGTCTGTATATTCCCTCCTCCTTCACCACCAAATCCTCCTATATACTGTGCTGAATGCAGGTGTGACTATAAGTGCTCTCCTGCATTAGCATAATATATTCAGTAAAAAAAAAACACCAAAAACGGGGCGAAAGATGATTGAGCATCTGGCGTGGAGGAAAAGGCAAAGCGAGAAAGAAAAGGGAGATAAAAATCCAAAGCTGCAGAGTAGAGATGCAGAAATTTACATTAATTTCTCCAAGTGGCACAAAGTCACAACAGTGTTGCTTTGCAAATTGGTGTAGCTACGGTTGCCATATATACTGGAAAATTCTGGTAGTATCCAGGGGCCAGAGGCTAACATGGCTGCCTGAGGGGGATTTTAAATTTAAGATTAAATGTCCGGGATTTTGTCTGTTCCCCAGTGGAAGCGCAAGCGCTGTGGAGAGGTTGTTTCCTTGTTGCCTCCCAGATGGCGATTTCGGAAGGTTGCTCACCACCCTGCTGTCAGCAGCTGCCAATCTCCAAAAAAAAAGCTCAGCAACTGTGTCTGGATTCTTACTTCTTGAAATATGGGAACCCTAGCAAATATGGCTGCCTTCTCTTTCTCATAATACTGTGCAGAGCAGTTTGCAGCAAGTTCAGAAGACAAATTAGAGAAGGTATCAAGTGTTTAAGATACATCTTAATGAAACCTCTCAGGAGGCCCACAGCCAGGCATCTAGTCCTGTTCGACTGCAAAATGGCAGGATGTGTCACTGGTCTGTGGATGGTGGTGCCAACTGGGAGTTGTTACCTTCTTTGAATGACTAGTTCTTTTCCCTCAAAAAACTGAGGCGTGTGAGCTTGCTGAGACCTTGCCATGCATTAATATTTGAGGAGATTTCCAGGCTCCTAGCCAGAGCCACACTGGCAGCCATAACAGATATTGGTGCACTGTTGTCATAATGTACCTCGTGTTCTAATCCTTTCAGGGACCAGTGACAACAATTCTGGAAACTACGTAGGCACGTACTACACAGGTTATAGGCACACACTTTGAAAGTAACTGTTGTCTTGAGGATTGGTTTCTTCTCATTTTGTCCTGCAGGCCTTGGAGATACACTAATCTCATTCTAGAAGCTGGGCTTTTAGTGTTGCAGCTGCAGCCCTTTGAAATCAATTTACAGCTGAAATTAGAAAGTTGCCTAGCATCATTATGTCGCGGGGCGGGACTGTTGAAGACATTTTTTGTTTAAGAAGGTTCTCCCTGAAGTGTGACCCCCATCATATAAGGAATACAGTGGTAGCTCGGGTTACATAAGCTTCAGGTTACATACGCTTCAGGTTACAGACTCCGCTAACCCAGAAATAGTGCTTCAGGTTAAGAACATTGCTTCAGGATGAGAACAGAAATTGTGCTCCGGCAGCGCGGCGGAAGCAGGAGGCCCCATTAGCTAAAGTGGTGCTTCAGGTTAAGAACAGTTTCAGGTTAAGTACGGACCTCCGGAAAGAATTAAGTACTTAACCTGAGGTACCACTGTATTGACTGTCTAATTTTAGAAATGGTTTTATTATTTTTAGAATCTGTATTTCATCTTATTGCACACCACAGATTGCTTTGGCTGCGAAGTGGTTTAATAATATTTGAAATAACAGTAATATGAATGGGGAGAAACCTGGCATCCAACTTTCTTTACCTCTCTTCCATACCTGGAGGGGCTGACTTTAGTGAGGTAGGTGTCCACTTCAAACTATACTTAACGTATATAACATATATAAAGGGCTGTCTAGGTTCAAAATAAAGAACTGTAAGAAGGGAGTTGTCCACCAACAATTAGCATCTACATAACAGACTGTGCTGGCACACAGATCGCATGATTTCAGTCTCCCCACCCACAAGATGAAATGTGTTTCTATTTAAATTATAGTAATTATTTCTAAATTTTCATCTGTACATATACATTGGTAGCATTATTTTCAATTTATGATGGGGTGGAAGTTTCGCAGGCTACGAAGGTCTTGCTCACAAATTTATTGACAGCTGCGCGAGTTACTATAGCTAGGAAGTGGAAGGGAAAAGGTGAATATAAAATGGAAGAATGGTATAAAGAGGTGTGGGATATAGCTATTAATGATAAATTAACATGTGCTATTAAGGTAAGACAGGGAATATGCAGGAGAAATGATTTTGAGGAGATATGGAAAGTGTTTGTAGATTTTGTACTCTTAAAATGGAAAAGGGTCACACCATTGCAAGAGGTGTTGCAATTTTGAAAGTTGGATAGTTACAATGGAATGGTCTTGCGGGTGGGGTGCACATTTTTATTCTTATTAATTATGATTACTTTGTCAAAATAAAAAACTATAAAAATATGCATAGAAATTTACTATGATGAAATGTACAGTCGTATCTCAGAAGTCAGACAGAATCTGTTCCAGAAGTCCATTCAACTTCCAGAGCGTGGCTTCTGATTGGCTGCAGGAAGCTCCTGAAGCCAATCAGAAGCCCCGGAAGCTCCGTCAGACGTTCAGCTTCGGAAAGAACATTCAAAAACCAAAACACTCACTTCCGGTTTTCGAACGTTCGGGAGCCAAAAGGTTCGACTCCCAAGGTGTCCGGGAGCCAAGGTACGACTGTATTGCATTTCCATTTAAATAATAATAACATAATAATTTCTAATTTTGTATTTATACATATTCATTGACATATGCAATTTTTATGAAAACCTGACATTTTGGGAGTGGGGAACGATACATAAATGGCCACCCTACCAATCAGCTGAGGGGAACTGGAGTCCAAATCCAGCCTTTCCTCTTGCTCTGTTAACAGCTGATTGGTTGGATTTCACCTTTTCCTTCAACAGGCTGAGCTCCTGAACAGGCTGAAAAATTGTTTGCACAACCCCCATTGGTTCATGTGATTCCCCGTTCATACAATGAAGCCTGCTTTTCTGACCTTACAGCTCCCAGTTACAGTTAAATGGCAAGCAATAACAAATGTAATTGTATGTAATTGTAAATGCAACAAATGTAATTTTTTATAAAATGCTTTGTCATTATTGTTTTCAATAGAATGCAGAAAACAGGGAAGAATAGCCTTTTGAGCCTTGCTGTGAATCTCTCTTTGTGTCCCTCCCTCCTGGAAACTGAAATGGTGCTCTAAAATTGTATTATAAATATCATAATCATAACCATTTGGATCAGAACTCAATATTCAGCTAGCACCGAGACACAGTTGGTGTGCCTGTATGCAGTAAAGACACCAGTCAGTAAAGAGAGGCAATGCATGATCTGAAAGTCGGATTGTTCCTGTTTTCACGATAATTTCGCTCACAGGGGATAACAGACAAAATACTCTGAGGAGAACGCAGGATTTTAAACAGAAAGGCCATCAAGCAAGTCTAAGGCAATATTGATTGTAGCTACAATTTAAAAATCTATAGGTCCCCTCCAAAAAAAATTATATTGACCTCAGCCATCTGAAATAATTTCACACATTTTCCTTTATCTAAAGTTTTTCTTAACTCCCCCCACCTTGTTACATACCACCCCAATCTCCAAGCAGAGGTATCGGGCACACTTACCGGAGTCTGTGCTTCCTTTCGGACAATGAGGCACAGCAGAGACTGTGGTGTCTTTATGATATATGGTTTATTTGCACATATATACAACCTGAGCCTGGATGGAGAGAGTGCAGAGCATTCACATGCCAAGAGGGTCCTGTTCCTTCCATTGCTGCAGCCTCAT